CTTTTAAGCTTTCTATTCATCAAGGCATCCTGAAATAAAGTATCACGGTTTACACAAAAATATTAAGCAGCACAACTGTTTTCAACATTGTTAATCATAAGAAAAATATCAGCATATTACAATGATGTCTGATGGATTATTATTATTATGTGACACTGAAGATTGGAGCTTAGCATTACAGTAATAAATTACATTTAAAAAATGGGAAATTAGAAAAAAGTTATTTGAAATTGTAATATTTTACAATATCAATGTTTTTACTTTTTATTAAATGACTTGGTGAGCATAAGAGACTTCTTTCAAAAACATTAAACAATTCTTACCAACCCCAAACTTATGAACAGCAGTTCTAGTCTATTATTGTGAGACTATACAGATTGACATGTTTGTTGCCATGCAAACCATTAAAGATGGTTTAACAACCTACTGCTGTTTTAGTGTCATCTGTTGTACAAAATGAAACTGACATTTCAGGGTTTTGCAGTTAGTTTCACAGTGAAACTAAGGGAAAGTTAATCTACATTTCTGTACAAAACCTGTGTAAAGGGAAAAAAATATACATTCTCTCTTCAAAATCTTCTCTTTAAGTGTTTTGACCCATGGATTTACATGACTTCTCTAGTCATTACTGGAGTTAAAAATATTTTAAACAGAATGAAATTAGAGGTACTTTCTAGCTGATAAAATACTTTAAAGTCAAGCATTGCTAGAAAACTTTTCCAGGCCTTGAAACCACAATTTTAAAATGGTCTGATATTTCCTGGTTTCCAGGTCAGGAGCATGGGAACTCTCGGCATTCACCACACTGTACATGCCTAATGTAAAGACTGAAAATATGCAAGTGCAAAAGCATACAAAGGACTTGAGCAGGAAAGAATGTGTGAAGCCAAAAGAATCAGTAACAGCTGCAACCAATTAATGAGTCAGCAAGAAAAAGAGTCCGACTGAAACTATTGAGGCCCTTCTACAGTCTGAACCACCTACAACGGTGCATTCACTTAGTTTCGTTTAGGTTTATCTGGCTCTCATTTGTACTAATAGTAGGCTACTAGTGATAAAGGCTTCATACTGACTTCAGCCTGGATGGATGAAGTTTGTGAACAAGTTAATTTACATTTTTGGATGCAGTTCTAACAAGTTGCAGCGACTATCTTGGACAGGCTTTTTTTTCGGTGTGGTGACTATGACTGTGTTTGCAGTTAGTGTTTAATGTCTTGCCATTTATCTATGAACTATGGCATGGTAAATCTTTTTATTGTTTATTATAAGACTAAACTTAGTATACTATCAGTAACTTTAGTGTTTTGCGATAAGACTGGTCACGTGATGTAAACATGGTTACGCCCATAAAGGGGCGACCCACTTCATGCAGAATAAAAAAAAAGCTTTTTCTAGAAGACTGATCTTCATCTCATGTGGATGTGCATTATGTAATCTAATATAATTTTAAATGACATTACTCTAGTCATTGCGTTTCTTTGTGTAAAAACTTTTTTTTTTTTACTGAGTGCACCCTTAACATGTTTATATATCACTGACAGAAAGACTAAAACCTGTTTTTTAATTTTATTTTGGCAATGCCCAAAAAAAATAAAACATGCATGCACAATCTGACAAACTAAAGATGTCAAAGCAATCCTGTCAATGCATGTTTTATTCTGCATGCCTGTTCTCTACTCCTGTCCGTCTTTCTCTCACTGATCCACATTAGTAAGATCAGCGTGCAGGACCGGAGGATCTTACCGGACACCAGCCACTGGCCTCCATTGTTGGAGAACTCAATGGCGTTGACGCAGCCGAAGTGGCCGAGCATGTCCTTCTTATAGAGGCTGGAGCAGCCGGCCAGTCTGCGCCTCTGGAAGTCCTCCTTCAGCCGCGGCTGTCCGCCGATCGTCCTGCGGGAAAGGAACCCGACGGCGCTCCGCACGCCGCAGCCCCGCACTTCCTTCATCTCTCCTCCGGTAAACGAGTCTCAACGCCACCGTTAGAGTGTCCCGGCCGTCATGGGTTTGAGCTCAGGTATGATTCGGTGGATTCTGCTTCGGCTGGAGGATGTACCGTTACATGTTTGCTCGGTAAAGCATGAAAGTGCGCAGCAAAAACAGAAGGTTGTTTGGAGTCCCACCGACCGCAGGCACTTCCTGCTCCGGTGCAAGGGTGATGACGTCACAAGAGCGGATCACTAACTCCGAACCAGAACCGCTGCTGTACTTTCTGATTGAATGTTATGTAATATGCCTCGGTTTATATAATTTGTGAACACTTGTGCCTCTGTAATCTGTATTGCTTTTAATGCAGTGCTTGATTTGTGAATGTTTTATTGTTATTAAAAAGTGAACCTGTATGTGTACAGCACATACAGGTGCATCTCAATAAATTAGAATGTCGTGGAAAAGTTCATTTATTTCAGTAATTCAACTCAAATTGTGAAACTCATGTATTAAATAAATTCGATGCACACAGACTGAAGTAGTTTAAGTCTTTGGTTCTTTTAATTGTGATGATATTGGTGGGTTTTTGTTAAATGTGAGCCAAAATCATCACAATTAAAAGAACCAAAGACTTAAACTACTTCAGTCTGTGTGCATTGAATTTATTTAATACACGAGTTTCACAATTTGAGTTGAATTACTGAAATAAATGAACTTTTCCACGACATTCTAATTTATTGAGATGCACCTGTACATGTGTATGTGTATCTATTGAAGTATTTCTTTGTTTATATATAAGTTAATATCTATCTAGTTAAATATGTTATTTGTTAAATATGTATTCGGGTTAATTGGGACATTTTGTTCCAGTCATCTCAATGGAAAAAGTGCACCAATTTACCTGGCTTTACACCCAAGAAATTAGACAACAAAAATGCTGCATTATAAAAAAAACTTTCTCGACAATAAAAGTTTACTTTATCTAGTTAACAATATAATGTTTAAAGTAAATTAAAAATATAAATAGAAACCATATTAAAATAAGCTATTTATACAATATTGTATTATTGTAAGGACTTATTTTAAAAAACTGGAAGATAATAAAAATAAACCTTTTTACACTTTGTGTAAAAACCTTATTTTACTTTACAGTGATTTATTAAAATTAAATTAAATATTATATATTAAATTATTTAGATTCAAAAGATTTATATTTATCTTTTACACTCAGATGTTAATAATGTAACATTTTTTAACATTTAACATAAATAAAATGAAACATGTAAATAGAAACATTAAATTACTTATTTTATCATTAGACTTTATTAAAATGCAAAAAATTTACAATAATAAACCTCTTTACTCTTCATAAATTCACTCTCATACCAAAAAATAACATTTATCTTATGTTATTAATTATATTATCACTATATATAGAGAGAGAGATAGATGTAAAAATCACTGCTAAATTATAAATTACATATTAAATTATTCAGATCCTGATTCAAAAGATTCATATTTAATTGTTACATTCAGATTTAAATTTTACAACATCATGTTAAATGAAACATTCAAAAACTTTTGGCATTCTATATCTTGTGATTCACAGAAAATATTAGCAGAGTTAAAGACTCTAAGTCATGTTTTGAATCAATGTTTGGTGACTAAGTGCAAATATCGAATACCCAATTTTTTAATATTCACTCAACAAGCATAAAAATGACAAGCAGGGACCAAAACAAATCTTAGTGTGTGTAGTTTTATTAAATTCCAGTAAGGAATTACAGTGATAGTATTTTTTCAACAGTTTTTCTTACAAATACAAATTTATGAGTAATCCTCCATAACTGGAGCAGAACTTTTAAATTAAAAAGCTAAGTTTTTTCAATTATATTTGTAATAAAAGACAAAACAAAACTAATACTAGTGGCAGGTATACATTTAAACAGCAAACAGACAGTTCTTTAGCACAGCTTTAACTATAAGTTAAACTCACAGCTCACAGCTCCTTACATACTGTGTATGATAAATTATGAACCTTTTTACAGTCTGGATAAGCATGAAATATTTCCATTAAATCACACCAAAACCTCTGCTGACCAGAAATAGAACAACACTGACATCATTGCACATGTTTGCCACTTGCTTGCATTAATCGTGACAAGTGCGAGTCTGTGAGTTAAATTATGGGATGGTTCCCTCTGGGTTGGATTTGTTTGTTCTGACATATTTTGGCTTTCTTAGGAGCAAGTGAGGCACAATATAATTTGATTTAAAATGACTCTATAGGAGTAACGAGGATTAAACAATCTCACCGTCTCGCAAAGCAGACTAAGAGATAGTTCAGAGCCTCGCTAAAGGCCTTAGGAAAAAGGCATGTCCAATACCTTTATAACACCGAGTCATTAGCATCTACACGTGTTCATGTCACCTACAGGCAGGTATACTGTATGCACACAGGCTGTGGAACACTGTAATTCTTATGCTACATTTAGGGAGATTAAAATATAGTGACATATGTATGTAGCTTGTTGGTTTAGTGTTCATGAAACATCTACAGGTCATATTTCACCCCAAAATCAGAAGAAAACCATCAAGTTTTCAAACCATCACCTTTTTTTTGGCCATCAAGTTTTTCTGAATTGTGACAAATAAGAGTCTCATTACTCTAATGTTTGGATGTTTTGCTTCTAAGTTTGCTGCTCAGTATTCTCAAAGGTCATTCTCATTAGATTTTTTCCAATAAGGTTCAATTTGTTAATGTTAGTTAATGCATTTGGTCTCATGAACAATATTTTTTTTGTTTATTAATCTAGGTTACTGTTAATTTATAATCATATTGTTATTCACTGGTAATTCATAATACATTAACTAATGTTAAATTATGCAACTTGAAATTTAAAAAAAATGTATATGGAAATTAAATATATTGTTCATTTTTTTTAAACAAACAAAGGTAGTACAACAAATATTACCATGCTGTGTAAATATGTTTAATTATCATTAATATGTCATCACAATGCAAAAACAAAAATATATAAAAAAAACTTTTTTGTTATTTAAAAATTAAATAACATGTCCTAAAAATATGCTGCATTTCCCTTATAACAAAATATTAACTTATTTTCTTTTGATTTTGGGGTTAAGTATGACCTCGACATCGCTGCTCTAAAAATTCTCCATGTTTTAGGCACATTATTCTAAATCCATTACAGCATCTGGGGGAAACTGGACATCTCACAAGAAAACATCCTCAAACAAGCCAACAAACCAAACAGAATGTACATTTCATTGTAGGAAACATTTACATTAAAAAAAGATTTTAAAGAGTGCAGCACACAGGTTTGACACTGGTCCATCTAATGTAGACACAGACACTCAGTCCAGTGTCTGTCTCCAAAGTTCCCACAAAGCTTTGCTGCAGTTTTTAGCTGGAGTGAACAGCGCTGTGCACCACAGGAAGCATTATATAACAAAAACACAATCTAGTAATGTTTTAAAAGTGCTTTAGCGTTCAGTACCTTCAGTGAATACATTCTCACACACACACACACACACAAACCTACAAAGTAAACCACATATGACGAGGTGGAGACTGCAACACAAACACACAATTAACCTTCGAGAGACTCTCTGACCTCGCTGAGGTTATAGAGCGAGAGAGATGGAGAAAACACTTTAGCTGTCTTCAAGATAAAGCCAAGCCATCTGGAAAATCCATCCGAAGCAAAATCCAATCCAGATTTTGTCCTTTTAATATAACAAAAGCACAGTTCCTTTCTCCCCTTTTTGCTGGTTTGTTCTCCCACAAGTGTGCTGGCTGCTGAAGTGTGTGGATACAGCTTTGCAGAATGACACAAAACCACCCGAAAACTCACTAGTTACAGAATTAGATCAGTTTTAAAGATTCAGTTCATTAGTCATCTCACTATAAACACTGGAGGGTTTTAACATACGTAGTCCAAAAAATATGCCCTGTTGCCAAGACTGCATCAAGTCTTTCATAAAAGAACAATCGAATGTCACTGAAATAAAAAAACAGACACAAACCGTGAGAAAGCAGATATTTTAAATAAAAACATCAGGCAGCACTGAGTGTAAAGGCAGCCGTAGCGTAGAGGAGTGAAGATGTGAGGCTGTAGTTCAGTAAGGCCCTTTGGAGGGTCCGAAGATGGCAAGCGGGAAGTGTTTGACGTGAGATGACCACTGAGCCGCAAGCTGGAAAAACTTCACATCATTCCATTCTACTCCATCTATCAACACTGTAGGGAGGAAGCAAAAAACATGCATGTCTTTAGTCTTTAACCATGTTTTCCTGAACTCCACAAATATAAATTATACATCATCGATACCTAAATTATAAAGAGATGTATGTATAATATATAGCACTGTTCAAAAGTTTGAGGTCGGTAGGATTTTTAAAGTATTTTTGATCAAATAAATGCAGCTTTGGTGAGCCTAAGAGACCTTCAGTAAATTCAGTAAATACAGTAAACAAGTAATATTGTGAAATATTATTACAATATTTATGTATTTTCAGCGTTATTACTCCAGCCTTCAGTGTCACATGATCCTTAAGAAATCAATCTAATATGCTGATTAGAAGCTCAATATATATATATATATATATATATATATATATATATCACGACATTCTAATTTATTGAGATGCACCTGTATATATATATATATATATATATGCGTGTATGTGTGTTGAAGATATGTTTTTGTGGAAATTGTGATACTTTTTTTAACAACTTTGATTAACTTGTTTGAAATGGAAATCTTTTGCTAAAGTCTTTACTAATGCTAAATAAAAGTATTAATTTCTTCCAAAAAAAATGCTGAATGGTATATAATTTATTATTACTAAATAATAAAAAAATTATAAAAAAAATAAATAAAAAAAAACTTAAATAAAAAAACATTTAAATGTAATTATAATAATTATAATTATTATTAGATTTATATTAAATTTAACTGGTGGTGCAATTTTTTTATTTTAAATTTATGTATATATTGTTAGTCAAAGTTTGTGAGCTGGTGGTTTGCATTATAAATATATTTTTAACTGTAGGCTGAAATTGAAAGGCTGAAAATACATTGTAGCAGGTTCAGAAAAGAGTTTACACTGAAATGTTCCACTTTTGCAGCTTGCAGGATGTTTATGACCCCCCTAAGCAAGGGTTACTGACTGTATTGTAAATTGTAGCGATTACTTTGAAGAATTCTGATTGGCTGATCACCTTTCAGCATAGTCTGCTGGTGTTTGGCCGTGCAGATGAGTCGACTTATGCCCTCTATCACCTGACTCTTAGACTCCGCCTCCTTATCCTTGGTCTTTTTAGGCAGAAACATCACTGAACACAGAGACAGTGTGTTTGATGCTTATTCAACAACACAGTACATTTTATAAACTGACTGACACTGAATGAGTTACTGTAAGTATTGTGTTTCTGTGTCTTACCCTTCTTATTCTTCTCTTTGGTGACAACATTCATGGACATGGTTGGCTGATGTGTCGTCTCTGCTCCGCCCAGTGGGAGGCGGCTAACCTGCAGCGAGCGGAAGGTGCACTTGAGCGTGTTTTTGGCAGAGGAGTCTCTCTTCTCCACTTCTTTCTTCCTCTCTGAAGGAGCAATCCAGTAATCAACCTGAAGACCCATCAGCTCCCCCTGACCTCCTCCAGGAGAACTGCAGCCACAAAGACAAGGTGAGAAAACAGAAGACTACAGAGATCTCAGACACCTAGCGCTGTGTGTGTTTGTACCTGGACATGTGCACAGAAGGAGAAGAAGGAGGCGTTGGTGATGCTTCTTTCAGTAATGGTGAGATCTGTGCAGGAGGAGTAGATGAGAGAAGAGATGATCCTACAGGAGCAGCGTCATCTGAATCGCCTACAAACACACAGTCACATGCACAAAACATTAATACACCACCTTAAATATAACAATTATAAATAAAAATGATATAACAAATATTTTAGGTTCACAACTGGTTATATTTCACATAAGGGCTATTAGAATTTTTTTCATGCATTTTTATAATTCATTGTACTATTTTAACCCTATAAAGTCTACTGTATCATATTTGATAAACACATTTCTAACGCCTCTAAAATATTAAAATCTGAAATCTGATAGTTTTTTTTTTTAGTAAATAAAAGGCCTTTTAGTATAATTGTAAAAACATCCAACTTTCAGGTTGTGGTCCCTGTGTTTTTTTCTGTTAAATCTTTACTCATTCTAATAAACTAAACCTAGGAATAATTTTTTTAATATTGTTAGTAATATTTCAATATGATAATTTTACTAGACTGAAGCAACTCTGGTTTATTTGATTATCCATAGTTTTTTTTTGTTGTTGTTAGAAAAATCATGATAAAGTGCATCAAAAATGATACATCAGGCTTTTGAGGAACATTTATTTGTCTCTCTCAGTCAAGACTATATTGCACTGCATTATGTTTTGCTCCCGACAATAAAAAACTATGGATCTTTGCTCATAAAACTAAGCATTTAAATATCATCCTACTAAGACATATTATTGGGAGATGTAGAATGACAACAGATATGTATATTCATTCTATGTACAGCTAGTAAGCTGCTATACTGTTATAAAGATCTCACTGATTTGCGTTATAAGCTATCAGAAGTTCTTATCTTACTTTTTGGCCATATACATATCAGCAAGCAACTGCAAGAAATTGCATACTTTTACTCAGTTTGGGCCTCTGAATAAAGTTAATCTGTGTTTTCCTCCTCAAGCCAAAAAACACATATGTAATCTTTTTTTTTTTTACTATTATTTTGTCATATTTTATACGGGTTAACAGTTGACAGCCATATTTAATACATAATATATTGACAGTATAACTAACCAGATGTGGCAGACGTTTGTTCAAAAATCCCCACTTTCACCACCTGAAGACACAAATACACTTTGAGCCAAATTCAATAAAACATTTCAAACTATAAAAACATCATTGTAAATGGACACATACCCCAATAAAAGGAATGAATTTCTGACATGAGTCTTCATCAGGACTGTGAGAGGAAAAAAGAAAGAGGACTTTGAACACATGTTTTACTGACTGGTAAATTAACCCCATTAAACTGCACACTATATCTACCAAAACCCCCCTTAAGTTTAGAATAACATTTTGATCTCTAAAGAGAAAAGGCTTCCAAGACTGATTTTGTCCAATTTTGTCTGGTTCATTCACTCTTTGCCCCTCCAACTTCGCGTCCTTTAACTTCAAGTTCTTCCCAACTTTCAGTTAAATACAACTGACTATTTTATGTCATCCAATAATAAAGCGTGTCTGAGACATGCTACAAAGAAATGCTGTAAAGCGAGTCATGCCAGCATAATTCTAATCGACTGCTGCCGTTATGCCACTGCCCCACCCGCCCCGAAAAAACTAAAAGAAAGAAGCATTCTCAGCCAATCATTGCTCAGATTCAAGCTACTTGAACCAGAGATGGTCTAATGCAGAGATTACAGATCTAGCAACAATAATGATGTTAAAATGGTTATGCTTACTTGTACATTATATTCCAAAATAAAATCATGAAATGGCCACACTGTTCAGCATGAAATGAGTTTTTAAGGGAAAGCATTATTTTAAATATATATATATACACTGTATAACACTAATTTTGCAATACAACCAACAGATTTACATTCAGACTGAAATCTCATGTTGTGTTAAACCATCTCTGAGAAGAGCAAAACCCAAAACCAGAAGCAAATTATAAGAGAACAGAAAGAATAAATAATCGGTGCCAGCAAACCACCCCAAAAACAACACAGCACAAGCCCAAATAGAGGGAGTTCACAGAGTGCATTTGAGCCGAAATAGAAGTTGCTCTCAGTGAAAGGCGTAACAGAAGGTCTATTGCTCTGCAAACCAGAGAATATAGAGACACTGATGAAACCAATAACTGAGAATTCAGCCAATATCAGCAGCAATACTTCAAGCACCTGCTCGGAGAATCAAGACTGTGAGTGTGTGAGTGTTGTGTAGTTTAGGCTTTTTACTCTGATGAGAGAGAGAGAGATCACTAGACGGGAGAAAAATGAACATGAAGCTAAGACAGAAAATGAAGAAATCATTTTACCTCCATCATAAAGTCTGTTCACCTCAGATATTTTTTCTGCCTTTTCATGAAAGTGCAATCATTTGAAATCATTTGCATCCTTGATTTTCTATTCAAACTGAAAATATCCTCCGGGACCCAGAAATTCTCAAGACCCAGAAATTTCCCTTACATGCCAGAGTTACATACCAACATTACAATAGCATATACACTGCCGTTCAAAAGTTTGAGATCAGTAAGATTTTGAATATTTTTTAATGGAGCCTCTTATGCTCATCAAGGCTGTATTTATTTGATCAAAAATACAGGGAAAAAAACAGTAATATTGTGAAATATTATTGCAATTTTTAATACTAGTTTCCTATTTTAATATACTTTAAAATATAATTTATTTCTGTGATGCAAAGTTGAATTTTCAGCATCATTACTCCAGTCTTCAGTGTCACATGATCCTTCAGAAATCATTCTAATATGCCGATTCATTATCAGTGGTGAAACTGTTGTGCTGCTTCATATTTTTTGGAACCTGTGATACTTTATTTTGTGATGAATAAAAAGTTAAAAAGAACAGCATTTATTCAAAATACAAATATATATTATATGAAAGAGTACATATTTTATTTGTTTACATTTGCAGATGGATAGAATGAAGAGTGAATAAGTATATCAGAGAAGGTTACCTGATGTTGGTGCTTCTGGTTTGTGGAAAAGATCTCTCCATGCTGAGTCCTGGAACAGGTTGTTATATCTGTAGTCTATACTGGCCAGATATTTAGCCACTGGATGAACCCCTACACACACACACACACACACACACACAAATGTTTTTTTTTTAGCTCTTCTGGTAATGTTTTATTGGCCAGTGACTGCTCATTATTAAATAAATTATATTTTAAAGTATATTAAAATGGAAATCCTATTTTAAATTGTAATAATATTTCACAAAATTACATTTCTTTCTGTATTTTGATCAAATAAACGCAGCCTTGATGAGCACAAGAAACTGATCCCAAACTTTTGAACAGCACTGTACATATATTTCTTAATAATAAAGTTCCCAAAACCAGTGTCAACATAAAAAAGTAAATGATAATGTATTTCAATTTGATTATTTTCCCCATATAAATATAACAAATTATATTAAATCAACCTGTAATACTTTTCAAAGTATAATTAAGTAATGTATTTAATTAACAATTTTTTCAGTGTTTTAGTCTAGTAATCAAGTAATAAAGAAGGATGTGTCACAGAACAAAAATGGCCTGAAACTTAAAAACTGTGTATAATTAACATAATTTTCCCCTTTTCTTTGTAACTGAATCCTGATGTCCTCTAAAGAGGTTTTATTGAAGTATTATGTCCTTTTTTCTGGGCCCTTGGAGGACATTTAGGTTTTGAATGTAATAAGAAGCTTAAACTGAAAAGGCTCTGGTACATTGTGTGCTCTGCTGAAGGACATCGGAGGTGTGCAGAGGATGATGGAGGTAATATTCATACCCAGAGCAGCAAGAGATCCAATAAAACCTTCAGATTCTTTCCACACCACAGCCTTTAGTACACAATTTAATGGCTAATTCCAAAATCATCAGAAGGTGGAGAAGAAATAAAAGGGAGAAACTGCAATGCTTGATATGGCAGCTACAGGAAAGGAAGCCCACTGAACTGTTTTCACCCTGAATAAACCACAAATCATAAAGTGTGGATGGAATCTCTAGAGTTTCAACAGAATCTCTCTGCTCAGCTATAATTCTCCTCAATACTGCAGGAGAAGAGCGAGCGAGAGAAAGGAAGGTGATATGTATCTGATTGGCTACGGTATCAGCACAGGCATGAGGACCACAATACCTTACAGCAAAATCAAAATGAAAGCTCTTTTTCCTTCAGAGAGGGCAAGGAAAAGAGAAATAAAGTATGTTATTTACAGACATAGATGAGATACAGTGACATTCACATGCTTTCTGTCCAAACATGACTTTAAGGAGGAGGATGCTCATGAAAAAGATGCAAATATCTGGAAAAACGAACAAAATGGATCGAGTGCGTTTTTGAGTGAAAACCAGATACCTGCATCTTCAAAGCATCTGAAAATGAACCCATCCTCTAATAACACATATTCAAAGCACTTTAATATCAAGAGATTATTGATATTCTTTTAATTGTATTTAGCCAAATACAATTGTGGATAGTCATAATCTTTGAATACGTTTTATTATAGAGTGGTACCATGTTACAATCACACTGATATTTCATATTCAGTGTGTTCTGCACAAAACATTTATGTTGCCTCCTCTGAAAGGTTTAACTTTTTTATAAAAAATATGGATCTGGGCTGCTCTGTACATGGTGTATCACCTTTTCTGCTTATAGGTAAGCATGGCCTCTGCTATGGGCAGCTGATGAGCTCCGTTTGCTCCCAACATGTACTGTGTTACCCTGGAAACCACATCTGGACTGTCCTGAACTGCTGGAGAAGGTTGGCAGAAAATAAAGAGAAAATGTTCATATTTTTACATTTATAAAAATGTGTGCGTGCATGTAAATGTATATACACTTTCAATATATTTAAAAATAACATTATTAAGAAGTAAAACACTGTATATTACACTATATAGAAAAAAATTAGAATTTTAAAATATTTGATATTATGAATTATTTATTTGATATAAAAAGAAAATAAAAAGAAAAATTAATTTACATATATAATAGGTTTAAAAAAATATATAAATTTATATTTATATGTTTTAATCTATTTAAGAATTACATCCTTTAAAAATAATATATATATATATACATATACAATTGTAATATATTTAAAACTCATTATTAATTAATTAATTAAAATACTAAATAATATAAGATGAACCCCTACACACACACACACACACACACACACAAATGTTTTTTTTTTAGCTCTTCTGGTAATGTTTTATTGGCCAGTGACTGCTCATTATTTTCCATGACTCCTGCACTTACCAAGAGGGATGATAAGGAATCGCAGGTATCCGAGCCAGTCGGGGGTTTTATGTGTCAGGTGATCCACAAACAAACGCAAAACGACAGACAGGTAATGCTGAGCTCCTGCTACTCCGATCCGCACAGGAGACGGTGTGACTGAGTTACTGTTACAACTAGAGCGAAAGAGAAAAGGAGAAATAAGTACATAGTGTGTGCCTATCCTAAAAAAACCTAATGGCAAAAAAACCAAATGGCAAAAGTATGAAGAAGAAACGAAGCGTCTGACTCACAATCTCTGTATGCGAGAGATGATGGTGCTGAGCGCAGCCTGTATGTCAGCCGTGGTGCACGTACACACAACAGGAAGACCGTGATTCTGTAACACCTCAGATACATACTGAGACAAAAAAACAGGAAAAGGGTTACATAAGTCAGTCTGTTTTTGTACTGATGGCAGGCTTATTATTCCAAATGCTTATGAATTTAGTAAATTAATTTAGTCATGGTTATTAAAATATACACAACCATTCAAAATTATGGGGTCGGTATAATTTATTTTAAAAGAAATGAATGCTTTTATTTTGTAAGGATGCATTAAATTGATCAAAAGTGACAGTAGAGTTTTACATTGTTAATTCCATTTCAAATAAATGAGGACCTTCCATTAAATCAAAAAAGTTTCCACAATCACGATTTGCACAAAAAATATTAAGCAGCACCACTGTTTTCATCATTGATAATAATAAGAAATGTTTCTTGAGCAGTAAATCAGCATATTAGAATGATTTCTGAAGGATCATGTGACACTGAAGACTGGAGTAATGATGCTGAAAATTCAGCTTTGCCATCACATAAATTACATTTGAAAATATATTCAAAAATTATTTTTTAAATTGCAAATAGATATTGTTTTACTGTATTTTTTATACTGATTATTTTTTGTATTTTTCAGTTTTGGTCACTATGAAAGACAAAAAAAAACAATGTGTGTTTTTGTAGAATTTGCAGCAAAAATAACTGTATTATGCTTTATCTTTATAAATAAAAATCTATATAAAATGATAGCAAAATGTACAATATGTAAGCTTTATATCAACAGCTGATAATTCGCAATATGTGCCATCACAGAAACCGTCATGTTGTGTTGACAGCTGTCAATCATACCTGGCCCTGCCAGTCTGAGGTGTTAATGAGGATGATGCTGTCGGGAAGATGGCTGTCTGACACCAGGATGTGGTTCAGCTGGTCATAAACCGTTTTGCGTGGAATCTAACCGGACACAAACCAAACAGAGACCAAAATTAGTTGCGGCTAAACGGCTGCTTCTGTTTAGTAACTGGAGTATTTGTTGTGTGCAGAGAGGTTCTATCTGACCTGTAGGTGGCAGCGTGTGTCAAGCAAACGCTCATTGTCCAGACTGTTGGCTCTCTCATTGGGCGGTCGACTGGTCTGTCTCTCTTTAAGTGATGTGCTCCGCCCCCGTCGCCCTGCCAACTTTGGCTCCACCCTTCAGATGAAGAGAGAAAGTTGATCATATTGCAGAAGGTTTTTAAAAACAAAAACACTAAACAGGGTAAACAAAAACACACACCAGAGGGAGCTTTGTTTAAAGGGGTCATAGGATGCCCATTTTCCACAAGTTGATATGATTCTTTAAGGTCTTAATGAAAAGTCTGTAACATAGTTTGGTTAAAATTTCTCAGTGGTAGTGTAAAAAACACAGTTTTTACCCTATCAAAAAGAGCTCTTTTCAGATCAAGCCGTTTTTGTAGCATTTTCCTTTAAATGTTAATGAGCTCTGCTGACCCCGCCCCTCTCTTCCGAGCTGCTCTCAGAGAGACCGTTTACTTTAGCCGCATTCATCGTGAAACTTGCTAATTAGCACATTATTAGGAAAGGCGATTTGCAAAGATTCAATACAAAACCTTACACTCACTTCTTCTGTAGATGAGGCTAGATGATTTGCGCGAACATAGACGCATTTATGTAGATCGGGGGCACATTACCTTCAGAAACAATGTAATCCACTGCGTCTTCAGCGGCTCAGATGTCGGGAGTAAATGACGACTGCTGTGTTCATTATTACATCCAAAAACAGAACACCTCAATCGCTTAGGAGTCATTCTTGTCTACATCTGCTCCAGCGGTGAAACAATGGCAGACTGATGACAGCTCACTCAGGGCGGGTCTAAGGTAAGACACCAGTCCAGTCTGTGATGAAACACTACTGTCAATCAAACTGTCGTGGGAGGGGCCTGTCTGTGTGACGTCACACAGACAAGCATCTGAGATCGGCTCGATTTGAGAAAGAGGTAAAGATTTGAGCAGATAAAAAAAAAAACACTGGGTGGATTTTTATCATTATAGGGTGGTTGTGTACACACACTGCCAACAAACATTTCAGTTCAAACAACTTGTAAAAGTGCATGTAGCATCCTATGACCCCTTTAAGAGGAGGGTTGTAACTAAACTCTGACATGAAGGCATATCTTCAGGAGCATGATCTAGCACCCCAGTCCTACAACATCACCCTTTATGTTAGCCAAAAATCTTGAGATACCCCCATAGCAGTAAGGGCCTCCATCTCCTTAAGCATGTCAGGCCAGTGCTGCGGCCACTCTCTCTTGATCATCTCAACAACTATGCGTGAGAGGGCATCCTTAACATGACATTCCTCTTGCAGAATTGGATGTGTACCCTAAAACAGGACATCAAGCCATAATATGAATAAGCGATTTCAATAAACCACACAATAAGATGATTTAGTGGATACACTTCCAAAATACTTACATCTGACAACAGGCCCATAGTGCAGTTTTTCAGCTGGAGCTTTTCTTGTGGTGCCATGTCATTCCACTTAAACCTGTTCATATCTGTTGACCCCGCCCCTCTCTTCCGAGCCGCTCTCTGAGGGACTGTTTACTTTAGCCGCATTCATCGTGAAACTTGCTAATTAGCACATTATTAGGAAAGGCGATTTGCAAAGATTCATTACAAAACAATATACTCACTTCTTCTGTAGATCACGAATGATTCGCGCGAACATAGACAGATAGATTTATGTAGATCGGGGGCGCATTCCCTTCAGAAACAAAGTTAAACCACTGCGTCTTCAGATGTCGGGAGTAAATGACTACTGCTATGTTCATTATTACATCCAAAAACAGAACACCTCAATCGCTTAGGAGTCATTCTTGTCTACATCTGCTCCAGCGAAACAATGTGAATTGTGAAACAATGGTGGACTGATGACAGCTCACTCAGGGCGGGTCTAAGGTAAGACGCCAGTCCAGTCTGTGCTGAAACGCCACTGTCAATCAAACTATCATGGGAGGGGCCTGTCTGTGTGACATCACACAGACAGGCATCTGAGATTGGCTCGATTTGAGAAAGGGGAAAACATTTAACCAGATTTAAAAAAAAACACTGGGTGGATTTTTATCATTATAGGGTGGTTGTGTACACACACTGCCAACACACATTTCAGTTCAAACAACTTGTAAAAGTGCATGTAGCATCCTATGACCCCTTTAAAAAAAGAAAGAAAATGTACGGCACCTTGACAGTAATCTTTAACAGGTAAGATATATTATACTCTCTTCATCTAACCGCAGTAATAAAGGGTTTATGTATCCTCACCGGTTGGATGGAATGATAAGTGACTCTGTTTTGGTCATCCGGCCAGTAGGAGGCAATCTCTCCATAAAAGTGTCCATGTTGTCCATCATCTCCAGTTCAGTGGTAGGGGTCACAACCTCAGGATGACCCTAAAGCCCAAAGACACACATAATAAAACACGTTACACATTATACAATGTAATAAATACAGCCTTAAGGCTGGGTAAAATAACCAAGTTTTTCACTAAATGAATGAATAATACAGTATTTATGTTTTTATAATGTATGTGTGTGAGTATAATATAATATATATATGTTCAGACACTAAATTTCCACAAATGTATTCCTTTTTTTTTGGGGGACTCTGTCCTTCAATGAAAGGGACTTTGTCTTGTTTTGAGTTCATAATTTGGGGATCACGCAAGGTACTACTTTTCTTTAATATTCGGACTTTTGTGATCACATTTGGATGATTTGAGTCAGACTAAAGATTATTGAATGACAGTAAAGTTCTCGGCTTGCTACTATCATCTTCAGAGTTTCGAAACTTTCTAAATTAGCTGTGAAATAATAAAGGAGCAACTTGTTCTTTAATTAGTGGCCTTGGCTGTAACAAGCTGCAGTTATTTTCCATTCAAAAACTAGTGAGAGAAACTCAACGAACAAAGAGAAGTAGTTACTGTGTTTATCTGTATATTTTTGAAATCTCTAAGTTTGAAGTGTACTGCTGTCTCAGTAAATGACTGTGGCACACCAGTGCAGTGTTATTCTTTCAAATCATACATTTCAAATCATCTTGCTTCTTTTGATCTCAAGCGAGTATTAACTACGGCTACTCACAAATCAGGCAACCAACTGGACCTTATTTACACACGACACTGCTCCACTGATCATGTGCTTGTTACTCCACTACACACCTCGGTAAATGACTAAATAAATAAATAAATAAATATATATATATATAGTAATTTAGCTGACATTTACCTTTAGTCAATTATATATATATATATATATACAGCTTAAACTGATACACAGAAATTTGTCTTAACACCCTCATATCCACAAGTTGTGAGACAAGAAAGGGCAGCAAAAGAAACAAGAAACTTAGTGTCAAATAAAATGGCACATTTTAAAGGCCAAATAAGGTATATTGGCAGAAAAGGTATATGATATAATTTTTTATATTTTTCCTAATCCGAGTTTGACACTTGTACAAAATGACATTGTTTTGCACTGCTGCCACCACACCACATGTTGATTCAGATTGGGTGATTCATTAGCTGTGATTCAGCTTTAGAGTGTCTGCCAGAGCTCATCTCAAAACACACATGTAAGTCTTGATCTGATATTCAGTGAATATCTTATATTAGTGAAGGATGTACCATTGAAACATTATCAGATTCATTATCCATCTGAAACTTTCCACCTACAGCCCTTATTTTATCAGGATCCATCTGAACAGAGAAAGAGAGAGAGAGTTAGCTCAGTAGTGATTAAACTGAAGTGTTTATGTTTCTAACCTAGCTTATACGTCCTCCTCATGGGGAAAACTGGTTAAAAATAAATGTCTATATATATATTACCATTCCAACATTGGGTTAAGACTTTTTTTAATGTTTCTGAAGACGTCTCTAATGCACAATAAAGCTGCATTAATTTTATCATAAATACAGTAAAACAGTATTGTGAAATATTAATACAATTTAAAATAACTGTTTTCTATTTTAATATTTCTAGATGTATAATTTTGATGGCAAAGCTACATTTTCAGCAGCCATTACTCCAGTCTTCAGTGTCACATGATCCATCAGAAATCATTCCAATATGCTGATTTTGAACAAACAAACATTTCTTATTACCATCAATTTTGAAATCTGTTGTGCTGCTTAATATTTTTGTGGAAATATTTATTTTTTAGCATTCTGAGCACATATTTGAAAAATAAATATTTTATAACAAATATTATATATATATATACTATTTTAAATATCAATTTCATGTATTCTTGCTGAATAAAAATGTAAATTTCTTAAAAAAAAAATAAATAAATAAAAAAAAAACTTACTGACCCCAAACGTTTGAATGGCACATATATATTTGGAAAAGGTTAGTATTAGGTTAGTATAATTAGCTTTATTTCAAGTCAATTTAAGTGTATGTTATATGTGCATTTAAATATCTTCTAAACACATGAATGAGTTCTTACTGGACTGGGTGGCTCTCTGTGACTCCTAACGCTGTGAATGCTGCCAATTTCTGTCTGAGAGCTGGATAGAGAAATTCCTTCGAAATATGGCCTAAACCACACACAGACACAAAAAGGTAAGCACACGAGGGTTAATAAAATAACACACATCTCAACATTAACAGATATGGCACTAAATAAACACTAATGAACAAACTCTCTTCTTAGCATACTTGAGTTTGGGTTTTGGGGTGCTGAGAACACTTTCATCATCGTCCAGATCTGGTCCACTGTCACTCGGATTCTCAAACTCTAAACTCTCCAGATCCAGATCTTCTTCTACTTCTGGAGGCGGCTCGGCTGGGTCCTGCTCCGAGTCTAACACCTACAAACATTTAAACATTATTTATTCCTCATTTGAACTGCATGAAAGGGATGGTGAGACAGAGGATCAAGCATAATCTGATGAAACAGAGGATGCTCAGACTCAGCTGCAGGGCAATCGATCCCAAAGCGGCATGTGATGTTCCTGGATATTATTAATGAGAGAGGAAATCAATCAAGGACTTTGTTTGCAACCATCAATGTTCAGGGTAAATCCGGCTTCTTAACAGATTTTAACAAGCTGCTGCTGATTGAGTTAAATGCACTAATGTCCTTTCTGCTACTATATAGATGTTATAAACTACATACTCATATTACATGATGGTTATAAAATAAAATATTTTTTATGTAATGTACTTTGAATTACCATTGTTTATTAAGTATGATATAGCATACACTGTAAAAAAAATTCCGTAAAATTTACGGTAAAAAAACGGCAGCTGTGGTTGCCGGAATTTCACCGTAAAAAATATGGTAGCAACGTTTTAGGTTTTACAGTTTTAACTTAAATTTACAGTTAAATACCGTAATTTCATTAACTGATATAATGTTAATATACCAACCTATTGAAGTACTGAAATCTGTTTTGCACCTTTGTAATACACTGATAACCACCAAATGCAGGTGGTGATGAGAAAGTCACATGATGAACCAAAGCCCATCACAAGCAGCTTTTAAATAATAACATATATAGAAGGTGCACAGTGTCATTCACACAAACACCAAACACCATCATGATAACACACATGAAACTGAAATAATGCAATAAACATTAATTTAACAACATTAGGTGTAACACACAACCCTAATATACAAAACTGATAAGAAAAAACTAAGAAGAAACATAGTTATTTCAACAAAAAAACATCAAATTTGAAATGTAACACAGGGAATTCTGGGAATGTCAATTTACGGTTATTCACTGTAAATTATACGGTATTTTTCACTTCCAAAAACGGTATACTACCGTAAAATGTATGTCCAATACAGTTTTTCACCGTATATGGTAGGGGAATTTACCGTTAACCATTTAACAGGCTTTTACTGTAGCATTTTTAGTCTTTTTCCGTTAAATTCACGGTAATTTTTTACACTTAACTCACATTTACCTCTTTCTTTATTTATTATTTGACTGGACTACCAAATAAAATTTTTACACCAGTGTTATTTACTGTTACAGTATTTATTTAGAAATGTATTCTTGAAATCATATTTAGCTTTTATTTTTTTAGTTTTAATTTTAATCGTACATTTTGTAGTAATTTTTGTCATTTTTATTAGTAAAAAATATTTAAAAATATTTCTATTAGATTTTTTATTTTTATTTTCAGAATTTATTTTTATTTTAGTTTTAGTTTTAAGTCATTTCAGTATTTAAACATTTCATTTTAGGTGGCTTGTCAAGGCAACATTTCAAAGTTTTTGATCCAATATTTATATTTTATTCTATTTCAGCTTTATTTTGATTAACAGAAAACATATTGTATAGTTCACAATAACAACACTGTTTTACACAAAGTGGACTAAAATACATTTCCATATTATACAGGGACTCCACTTGCTAAATTAAACATGCAACATTAGGAGGTCATGTGACAACAATGCAGCATACTACTGCTTGAGATGTTTCATTGATTAATGGCTATACCATTTCTCATACTACTGTTTTTGAAATAGTAGTCAGTATACAGTATATACTGGGCAATATTTAGTAAGTTGTAAGCCAGTATTCAATTCCAAACATACCCCTACTGACAGTTCTAAATGCTAAACTTCCTTTAATATAAAATATTTGTGAAAATCTTCGTCAGGTTTCAGATGGTTCCATAATAAGAACCAGTGTCTTGTCAGAACAGGAAGTAACCTGAGACATAATGCTGATGAGATCATGTTTCTGTCCCGCTGGACGTCACTGCTGCTTCTGCATATCACCACACACTTCCTGTCCTTCAGAAGAGGACTGACCTCTGAACCCAAAGTGCCATGTGTTTATTTTGCTGTGGGCAGCATTTTCTTTTTTCATGCTTACTGGTTATATGTCGAAATTGTTGAATATATAGAATGGTGTAGGAACCAAATACTAGCTTACTATTTACTGAATACTATGGTGGATATACTGTATACTGCCTATTTTTAAACTTTTTTTATACCCCCTTTTTTTTTTTTTTTACCAATTATGTGTAAAATGTGTCAACATTAACGGTTCAAAAAAATTTGTTAAAGTGAAAATTGAGGGTCAAATCCAGTATTTTGCATTGTGGGCATTTTTGTGGGTAAAAATTGTGCAATTTTGGCAACTACAGCAGCGCATTTATATATATTTGCATAATGTTTACAGTATACATACTATACACTGCAGAAGCAGTAAGAATATTATAGCCAAAGTCCTTGTGTCAGTCCTGCTCTCATTGTGCAGAACTCCACTCTGCAAGATTATCGGCAAACAAGGATTCGGTTTCCGTAGCAGTGCTGATTATGCATGGCTAAATTAATCTGTGGAGCCAGGCAAGGGTCAGGCCTTGTGTCCGCTGACTGAACACAGACTGAACAGAATCATACAACAGGAAAAGAAATCACCTTCCTACAACTTATTTATTAACCTGGTTTCTCTTTAGGTTTTTTCTCCATTTCTGTCACCTGATGGAAGTCTGAGTTCCATGCCATTCTTGTGGCATGCTTAGTTGTGGTTTTAAAGGACACTTAAAATTCAGTAATATTATTGATTTGACTGCACTGACACTATCAGATGAACTGAACTGAATCAAATTGAACTGACTTGATCATTTAATTATTTAATAATAACATTATAATGACAGGTGGCTTGGCATGACTTGATAATATTTAGACTACCTATCATGTCAGAGGTGAGAGGTCTTTGTACATCTAAAGTAAAGTACATTTAGTTAAACATAAACTAAGTTGCACACAAACACGGATTTGGTCCACTGAGATGGGGAGAAAAAAAGTGTACAAAACATATCGGTTCACCACACAGGTCAACCTGCACAACCTGACTAACATGTATTTATACACTTAAAAAACAAATAGACTCTATATTTACCCACCTCATCAGAAACTCTGAACCGTTTGAGCAATGCCACCACGCGCTGCTTAAAGTTCTGCTGCTAATGGAGAAAGAGAAGCACACACACACAGACATACACACTCATATTAACAGTCTGTTTACTACACGATCACATCTGACAGCGATGACTGGGAGTAAATTCTCATTGTTCTCTGGCATTCTTACCCTGGTGATCGATGCCGTCCGGACTATTGACCTCCTCTGCTTTTTTGGTTTCCTCATCTCGTACTCGTCATCCTCAAGATCCTGAGGAGCATGTATATACACACACACACACGAGTCAGCAGAAAAAGAGGGAAGTGAGGTTGCTTTGCTTGTGTGGTGTTTGTAATCACCTGTCCTTGTGCTGCGTCATCACTGGCCTCCTGCTCCGATGAGAAGCTTTCATACTCTTCTTCTGAGTAATTATCTACCAAGTCAAAAAAGGAAAAAGGAAAGGCCCAGTCCTGAATACTGTTTGGTCAATGCAGTGTTCCAGCTAGTGATGTACCGCTATTGACATTTTGGCTAAGAATGATTTTTAAATAATGCTTGATAATTAATAAATGGACATTAATAGATATATTTTTGCTTTAAATAAAAAAATAAAATAAAAAATAAAAATAAAAGGACATTAAAACTGTAAGTATGCAAAAGCAACATAATGAAGGTCTCCCAAACTGAGGTTTGGTCATGAGGGTTTCAGCTAAAAAAAGTAATTAAAAAAAAAAGTAAATTAAAAAACTCAGGGTGTACTTCAAGTAAACATTAAGGTCAAAGAATATATATATATATATATATATGAAACCAATGGATTTAAATGATGAGTTTAGTATTATAAAAGAGAATTTGTATGGCTGGTCTGAAACAGAATATACTGTACATTTTGAATAATCATTAATAAACTTTTTGTAAGAAATTAACTTAATTTTATGAATAATGTGCACAGTAACTCATGCTTAAATCTGATAAATCTGTCACACTAAAATACACAATACAGAAAAAAACACCTTTAGTGTAAAACTTCACATCTCTCATAAAGAACACAATTTCTTATTGCCAGGGACATGTCATAGACTAATGAAAAATGTATGTGCATGTATGGATGATTTTACCAGAACATTTGATTTTCTGTCCCAGAATGGCTGCCTCTTCATGGTCTATAGGCTGACTGGACAGGGAATAGATCCAAATCTCAGCAACTTTACCCAGAAACTCCTTCTGATTACTGCAAAGAGCCAAGACCTGCCCACCTTCTGCAGGATGCTGCATCACCTACACACACAAACAAATCAGCATTTAAGCATTGTATATGCTTCAAAAGTGACTATTAACCTCACTGAGAGAAATCAGAAATACCTCTGCCATGTCTATAGAACCAGCAGCCAACGTCTTGTAACCCAAAATTGTTCGGTTTTTGTACCTCTTCCTCCGCTGAAGCAGGATTTGCAACTTATTTCCCTCGCGCTTCAGAAAATGAGGGTACTACTCACATACAAACATGTACACACAGGAGAGAGACAGGAAAAACATCCAACTCAATTTCATAATAAAACTCTAGTATGATTCAGAGCACACTGAAATGATGATGTCTTAAAAGCAATATTGGCCCTGTTTCAAAACCTAGTAAGCTGCCTACACAGGGAGCATTTACAGGTGTCAGACAAACTTTCAAAGCAAAGGCTGTTTCCATGATATCTTCCTTTTGTTTTATTTTTAAAGCAGTGCAGCATGTTTACTTGTATACATAATGCATTGCAAAGAGTGATGTAGAGTGTTCCAAATCAATCACTTATGAGGTTCTTTGTCAGGCAAGGCAGCTGTCAATGTAAGCAGTAGATAACTAGGCAGTTCACTAAGTTTTAGTTCAGAGCCATTTATGACGGACCAATTTGAAAAAGTGTGTTTTGAAGATATCTTTACCTGTAGTGAGAAAGTGAGAGCGAGATCAGTCTCCACCCCACCAGCAGGGGGCAACACTATTTCATGAGAGCGCAGGATTCGCTTGGAGCCCTACAGGCACAAACAGTCTCTTTATCTGTATTTCACCCAACTGTTCCTTCGGTCATCACTTTGAAGAAACAATTATCCACTTAATTTGGGATTTTGTTTATTGAAAAGCTTTCTGGACCGTGGACTTTGAAAATTATGCCATAAGGAATTTATCATCATTCTGTATTGACGAAAATTTTATTTTTTTATGACTCTTTATTACACTTTACGATATTATGCACTTTAATTCATTTCTCATGTATTGTAACCCTCTTAGAATATGTTTATTGTCTCTAAACTTGTAAATGCTGTGCTCTTTGTTGCAAAAAATCTAGACATGCTGCTGTTGAAAAACAACATACACTTTATGAAGCTGATTACTAACCTGAATCTTGACTGCAATGACGACAGAAATCAGCTCCTTGTCAAGTTCCTTCATCACCACGAGCTTCTTCAAAGTCAGACTGCACAGCCTACAGACAAAAACAACAGCCTTATTTACACAAATATGTGATTATACAGGTGCATCTCAATAAATTAGAATGTCGTGGAAAAGTTCATTTATTTCAGTATTTCAACTCAAATTGTGAAACTCGTGTATTAAATAAATCCTGGCTAATCGAGAAGCAATCTTTGTAATGAGCATGTAGAAAAAGTACCATGGTTTACAGCACAACTAAAGGAGAAAATTGTCATTTTTGAGTGAACTATCTCTTCACTTTACAGTTGGTTTACAAACAGGCACTCAGTTGCTGTTTATCAGTAAATGTTTAGGAATGTGATCCATATGTTTGCGCCTGTAACAGGATGTGAGTTGATAATCTTGTTTTCTTATCAGTAATGCACTGTATGAACCTTCAATTTCCAAAGAAAACTCAATCTTCCTAAGAACAACTACTGCCAAACTAAACTCTAAAACTCAGCAGGGAGAATTTCTACAAGACTGAATCAGGTCTGAAGCTGAAAACAGGCCCATAGCAGCTTTCAAATGGAACAGATCAGTCCAGAAAACAGCTGGAATTCATGGGATTGATAAAGTGGGGTTCAGGGATTTCAGTCCTCTGGAAACTTGCATACAAAACTGTTTACAAAACGTTCCATTGAGTGTCTGTCATTTTAGGCACGAGGAACCGCTCAAAAGGGCCAAAATCATTTACTAAAACATAATAAACACACACCCTCGCTCTGACACTGCAGTAAACCTCAACACTGCACTGAGAGACATCCATCCTTTAACACATACAGTGAAAATGCAAATGAGGAAAGAATCTCAACTCCCACATTTGCATCACAGAGCCAAACATTTCCAGAATTAAAGGATTAGCAGACCAAAAAAAAAAAGACATTAAGTCATTATTTGCCAATAATCTTCCCTCTAGCCAAAGCTCCGAAATTGAATAACGCAGGCGGGACAAATTTATGCGCATATTCAAATTGCAAGAGAATTCCATTTGATTCTCGAACAAAGCTAATGAATGACTTCAGAATATTGGAATATAATGTACAAGTTGCATGCTTTTATGGCGATTTTTGTCATTTAAGGAGCTTGACAAGCACATTTACTAATAGTTTGGAAAAGAATGTGAGTATTCTGATTTCCTTTTGTGGTCTTATTGATTTGGAACAACTATGAGGTCGAATAAATTACAAGATTTTTCATTTTTGGGTGAAATGTCCCTTTGCACACTGACTGTGGAGGGAGAGAATCCTATCACAGAAAGAGAATGAGATAACGTCAGTCATGCAGGGAGAGAGTCAGAGCAGAGATGAGTCAGTATTGTCAGGAATGTCACAGAGGGAAGTGATCAAGGGACCAGAGAGGCCCCTAGAGGCCCCAGAGCAGCTTGTACAGAGAGGGAAGCCAATGGAAACGGACCCATATGCATTCACCTCATAGAATATTAATGAGAAATACTTTATATATTCAAATCACATACCAGGTACTATGAGGACAAGGAAGAGAGAAAGAGAGAGGCACACAGTACAATCTCTTGAGTGATCTGAAGGCTGGTATTGTTCACACAACATTCTCACTTCAACACACACACACACAAACAAACAAAAGCCATTCTTCTTCCCTGAGCGATTAGCATGCTAACTCTGACCGCAACAAAGGAACACACAGCGGTTTTGAGTAGACTTAACTTACACACATTTCTCTCTCACATACACACACACTAACATTAGCCCAAAAACTAATATATTAATAAGATGATAAAAAAAAAACTCTGCACAGTAAAAATCTCTTCTGTCTAGGCATGATTTTCCTAAATGAAAATTAGCATAAATTAATTAGAGTATAACAGATAATGTCATGTGTAGAAGACTTCTAATTCTACTTTGCAAATATACTTTACAATTTAAATAACGTATGTGTTTCTGCATTACAGTAATGAGAATGAAAATTTTAAATTGTAGTAGACTAAAGATAATTGGGGAAGATGATTATCTACTTAATTATAATGAAAATGATGCAAAATGCAATTCTTATTTCTAAAACGTGAGTAAATTTGGCTTAGGTTCGCCGTGTAAAAACACAGCCATATTTCAAGTTAGTCACAAATTCAACAAATTACATACTGTAGTTTTAAACAGTCAACACACACTATATTTATAATAAATACATGAAGTAAAAATAATAGATTTTAGAGGTTGATTATTGAGACCACCAACAAACATGACAGGAAACAATGGCCACACAGGCAATTTTATGTTCTCTTTCCTCAGTACAAAGGCTGATTATTTCAGCTGGTGTGGTGAGTTGTGTGTGTGTGTGTGCGTGCGCGCTGTGTCTCTCACTGCACACACTCACGTCAATCAAACCCCTCTAATAACTATGTACAACCTCCTATAAAGGTCTAACAGCCCTCAATGACCTCTCACACAAGAACAGAGACTGTTCATCCTAGATGAACGTGTCTCACTCCACTCAGCTGGATCCAAACTCAATCACAGCTCCGTTACACACACTCTTCTACAGAGACTGTGTGTTTTTCGCTCTGGCAGATGCTGCAGAGACTCTGAAAGCACAGAGGGAATTAGAGCAAAATCAATTTCATTCGTTTCTCATCAGAAACCCTGAGGTTCCATCACTCCTGACTCAGGTTACACGCACATCTACTGTAACTGTAAGTCTGAAAGGGCAGTGCTAAGGGGTGAAACCGTGCTCAGGTTACGGGCCCGGACAGAACACCGGGATTAGCCGATGCATTAGTACACATCACTGATAACTAAAACTAAACCATTAAAAATTGTTTTCATTAATTATAAAAAGCTGAAATAAACAAACTATAAATATTAGATGAATAACTTAAAAATGTAGAACTAAAATAAGTTTAAGCTGAAGTACTAAAGTACTAAATATTAAAATTACTAAAACTGAAATAAAAAATATCAAAGCAAAATAGAAATATTACAACAAAGAACTAATAAAAATCACAAAACTAAATTAATAAAACTAATATTAAAATGAAAACTGTAAATATAAAAATAAAAGCTGATTCAAATATTAGTAAATACTATAACAATAATACAAAATAATAATATAATAATTAATTATTAATTATACACCTAAAGAAATGAGTTTTTTAATGAAAAACAACAACAACACACTTCAACTTCAAGAAAACAGTTTTCTCTCTTGATGCATTTCCTATTGAAACAGGATGTTCTGCTGGGACATATCAAAAAATTTTCCCTTACCTAAAAAGAAGTAATACATATCCCAGGTTAAAGGTAGATTTGAAGATATATTGAAATATATATTGTTTAAAGAAAATAAAAGAAAATTAGGCACATTTCCAGAACTAATAGCCTACTCATTAATATAACATGGGGGAAAAAATGGATTGTGATTTTAGCGGGTATGTTGATGTAATGGACATTTTCTCATATATAGTTACAGCACTGCCATAAGTTTTCTACACAGTTGCAAATAGTGTGATGGGGAGGGACATTCACACTCTAGAGAGCATCTGATTGGACAGAAAATTGAGTAGTGCAGGATGAGTCATCAATATTTGGAGTCCATTTTCCTTGAAGAGACTACAAATTTTAACTTTAAGAATCAGTAAAACATTTAGAATTACACTTGCAAAGACTGCCTCAAAACTACCACATGGACTAAAAGCCACAAATCTATTTGGATTTCATAGTTTTTGTTTATGTATGTCTTCCAAGTGTTTTAAAGGGCAGTTTCCATGCTGGACTCGTGTTCATGTGATCTCATCAGAAAGACGGTCCAAATATTCTGCATGTGTCTGAAAGTGAGTAAACCCCTGAGAGCTGACCTACATTTACTTGTAGAAGCTAAAAACACACACACACATTCACACACTATTCTAACAAGGTCAGCTTGGTCCTAATTAGCTCAACTGAATAATCCTTAGTGTAAATGATGGAAGAGACACTCACACACACTAAGCAGTGTGTAAGTCTATAAGTTATTTTAAGTTATCGTTGGTATGAAAAGCACATGACTAGTAAACAGACACAAAAAAAGCTATTTCTGTTGGGCTTATGTGCAATCAGGTCCAAACGGCTGAGAACAACTTTCTATTTTATCCATATAAACCTAAAAATAAAAAAATACTGACATAAGAAGAAATGATGAAATTAAATATTATTAGATCACCACGATCAAATGAAATTTACACTACCAGTCAACATTTTTTGAACAGTAAGATTTTTAAAGTTTTTTTGCTCACCAAGCATGCATTTATTTGATCCAAAATACAGCAAAAGCAGTAATCTTGTGAAATATTTTTACTATTTAAAATAACTGCTTTCTATTTAAATACATTTAAAAATGTAATTTATTCCTGTGATCAAAGCAAAATTTTCAGCATCATTACTCCAATCTTCACTGTCACATGATCCTTCAGAAATCATTCTAATATGCTGATTTGCTGTTCAAGAAACATTTATTATTATTATTATTATCATCAATATTTAAAACAGTTAAGTACATTTTTTCAGGAATATTGTAAAATATTACAAAAGATTTCTATTTCAGATAAATGCTGTTCTTTTGAACTTTCTATTCATCTAAGAAACCTGAAAAAAATTCAGCTTTGAAATCACAGGAATAAATTACATTTTAAAGTATATTCAAATTAAAAGCAGTTCATTTAAATAGTAAGAATAGTATTTCACAATATTACTGCTTTTGTTGTATTTTGGATCAAATAAATGCAGGCTTGGTGAGCAGAAGAGACTTCTTTAAAAACATGAAAAATCTTACTGTTCAAAAACCTTTGACTGGTAGTGTATAAGTAAAGAAATCTCAGCAGATTTGTCACTGAACTCATTTGTACAAAAGGTCAAGATGTTCTTGTTTCCCTTGAAGCACAAGACTTTCTTTGGATCATTCTCAAATCATGCTGGAGAACACGGATCAAAAATGTAAAATGTGGGCAAATCAAATACTTAGAAATGTTGATAATGTATTTTGTAACTAAAAATGTAGCGTTAT